TGGAGAGAGGGTGCGGAGAGGGGAGATGGAGAGAGAGTGCAGAGAGGGGAGATGGAGAGAGGGTGCGGAGAGGGGAGATGGAGAGAGGGTGCGGAGAGGGGAGATGGAGAGAGGGTGCGGAGAGGGGAGATGGAAGGAGGGGGAATGAAGGGAGGGGAGGGGGAAAATGGAGAGAGGTGGAGGGACAGGGGGATAGAGAGAGGTGGGAGGGGAGATGGAGAGAGGGTGCGGAAAGGGGAGATGGTGGAGAGAGGGGGAGAGATGGAGAGAGGGGGGAGGGGAGGGGGAAGATAGAGAGGGTGTGGAGAGAGGAGAGGGAGGGTGGGGAGAGGTGGAGGGTGCTTTGGTGTGGTTTGCTCCTTCTTTCCTATCAAACATCTATCGTCCTTATCTCCCCTCCTTCTTTTCTTTATGTTTGTTACTCTCTTGTAACACCTCGAATCTTCTGCACCTACACGACCTTATTGTGTTGAAAGTGCTGTAAAACTCTTACTGAAACTAAAACTCCCCTCCTTCTTTTCTTTGTATGTTACTCTCTTTTGCATCACCTTTAATCGTCGGCACTTATATTAATATTATTATTATTATTATTTTAACATGAGCATATTGTGTTGCACTTGCCGTAAAACTGTTGCACTAATTCTAAACCACCCTGGAGCAGTGGGTGGTTGACGGGTGCTCTGGTGTGGTTTGCTCCTCCTTTCCTATCAAACATCTATCGTCCTTATCTCCCCTTCTTCTTTTTTATGTTTGTTACTCTCTTGTAACATCTCGAATCTTCTGGGCTTATATGACCTTATGCCGTTGCGAGCGCCGTAAAACCTGTACTAAAACTAAAAAACACCCTGGAGCCTACGACACGCGTGGTTTGTGGTAGCCCGGCGTGTAGTGGGTCGCCAGGTACAGTATGTGCTCATCCAGCTGCGTTGCTCAGACACGCCACGACGCACGATACACCGCGACACGCGTGTCGTCTCACCATTGGCTGTGTCTGGACCCTACAGACTGGATACATACATGGCTGCTGGGCTTTGCGTGGCCTTTGTTGATTGTTTGATGATTGTTGTTGTTGTTGTTGATTGTTTGATGATTGTTGTTGTTGATTGTTGATTGTTTGATGATTGTTGTTGTTGATTGTTTGATTATTGTTGTTGTTGATTGTTTGATGGTTGTTGTTGTTGTTGATTGTTTGATGATTGTTGTTGTTGTTGTTTGTTGTTGATTGTTTGATTATTGTTGTTGTTGATTGTTTGATTATTGTTGTTGTTGTTGTTGATTGTTTGATTATTGTTGTTGTTGTTGTTGTTGTTGATTGTTTGATTATTGTTGTTGTTGTTGTTGTTGTTGATTGTTTGATTATTGTTGTTGTTGTTGTT